CGACCGCCAGGCGAGCGGAGTCTCTTAAAGCCGCAGTAACGCTCCGAGACGTAACGACCGCCAGGCGAGCGGAGTAATGCTGCTGGTCTTCCTCCTCAGGTATCCTCACTGCCTGCACATGCTGGAGCTGCTGCAGTACGAACACTTCAGGAAGGAGCTGGTGAACGCTCAGTGCACCAAGTTCATCGACGAGCAGCAGCTGCTCCACTGGCAGCACTACTCCAGGAAACGCACCCGGCTGCAGCAGGCGCTCGCTGAGCAGCAGCCGCCGCAGCAGCAGCCACCGCCACACGGGAACGCCGCCGCCAAGTGACGAGGTCACCGGAAGACGGCGTGGGGACGGAGCTCGACCGGTGCTGGATTCATGGACGTGGATGTTTGAGACGGACAATATACATTTCTTTTTCTTTTACGCGTAAACATTTTTGATTCAGATCCCTGAAATGTGACCTGAGTGAGACACTTTACAGTGAAACAATCAGCTCGTCAGTGCTCTGTGGTAGAATATAATATACTCTACCACAGAGCTACACTGATCAGCTGATACTGTGTGTGAGTGTGAGTGTGAGTGTGAGAGTGAGAGAGAGAGAGAGAGAATAATGACAGAGCAGCAGCTTGTTTGAACTTCCTGTTGGATTCATTGAAGTGAATCATTTTGTTAATGAACTCTTAAACTCTCAGCAGCTGAAGCTCCAACATTCAGTCACAGATCTGCTCATGAAGTTTAAGAACACAAACTCAGTGGATGAAAGGAAACGTGATGACAAACGGATCCGATACAGAAATGTTTTTTCCATTTCAGTCGACACAAACTATGTTCAGCAAAATCAAAGTTTTAATCAGAAAATATCTTTCAGACGAGACGTTTCACAATAAATCTGTTATTTCACAGACGTCTGATGTCTTTTTTAAATCCGTCCACTGAGTTTGTGTTCTGAACTTTCTTCCCTGATAAACATCATGCTGTGTATGAACAAGAAGTTTATTGATTAACAAAAAGAAGTTTATTGATTAATATGACGTGATGACAGAGAGAGGTTTCAGGTTTTAAAGGTGATTTTCACAGATCAGCTGCAGCCTGTAATGTGAGATAAACAGTTACAAACACAGTGAGGGGTTCTTATACAGATATGCATTATTATCTAGTGGTTCCAGTGTTTTTACTTTGTTTTTAATAAAATGTTTGATATTTGAATCTTTCAGTTATTCATTGATTTGGTGATTTGGTAGTAAGTATTTTATGGCTTTATTACTGAGATGAATAGTGATTCACATTCACTTTTTCTTTTAATATGTTTTTCTAGTATTTATACAAAATAAATACAGACTTACATAAACATTTATTATCATTTATTTTACATTTATGTATGTGCTGATTAATTCCCAATATGTTTTATATTTGTGTGTCAGTTTCAGCCTTTTATTAATTTAATTTAATTATTCATTTCAGTATTTGTTTTTATTTATTGACAGAACATTTTGTGTACATTACTATATTCCTGCTGTAGTAGAAAACATTATTTAATTAATTAAATTAGTTGGATGAAGTACAGGCCACCGGGAGACCTTTCATTTATAAATTGTCCCGTTTTTGTGCAACTTAATTTTTTTCACTCGTTTAAATTTGGAAGCGACATCGCTTTTATTCTGAAGGAGTCGAATCGGATGTTGTTTGCGTGACGTTTACCGGAACAGTCTAGACGTGGAACTGTTCTCCTCGCTACACCTCTGTATTCGAGTTAGGACGTAAAGGTGTTTATGTTAAATCTGTAACCACCGATAAATGGATGTTCACCGGTTCTCTCAATATTGAACTTTCCCCGGTTACCGCAACGGACAGACGGGACACCGGGACGGATAAAGACCGACGAAGACTACGGTATCATTTAACTTTTTGAATATTGTTGATTAAGTCCAGTATATTTGTATAAAAGTGTCCTTTTAAAGTGTATCATATAGCTAGTTAGGCTATATGAGCAGTGGATGACCCAGAATGCAACGCGTCACCTCAGTTTTAACCAATCTGTAGTTAGCTTGTTGGCTTACATTCATGATTTTAGACCTCTTTGGTTGTTTGATGGTGAAACACTGAAGAGTTTAACTTAAACACGAGCTTCAACTCAGCAGGTCAAAGTCCGGATGAACCGGTAACTCGTAGTTCAGTTCACCTCCACGTGGTGCTCGTTTTAATTTAATTAAATTAACATCATTTACAACCCGCACCACGTGAACACTTGTGCAGGTGTTAAGAAGTGTTGCTGCAGTAGAACGAGAGGTTTTCTAAAGCTCAGAGACACTACCACTGCAGTCCACAGGGGGCGACAGAACCAACACCAAGTCAAAGGTCATCTGAGTAACTCAAAGTAAAACCACCGGAATATACTTGAAGCATCAGAATTAAAAGTCCTCCTTCCCCTTCTCCTTTTTCTCTTCCTATTCTTCCTCCTCTTCCTCTGCTGGAGATCCAGGACGTACTGCTGGACCCTCTGGAGGTGAAGGGGCACTCAGGAGAACCAGAACCAGGACTGAGAGGGTCAGCCTGTCGGACCTGCTGCAGTACACTGAGAGGTATTCTAAAGGGAGTCTGGTCTCTCTTCATCAGGAGGAAGATGGCGGTGCAGCGAGTGGCGGTGATCGGTGCTGGTGCGGCGGGTCTCTGTGCAGCGAGACACATCCTGTCCAGACTGAACCGCTTTGCCCCCCCGGTGGTGTTTGAGCTCAGCGACAACGTGGGCGGAACCTGGTGCTACGACGAGCGGGTCGGGACACGCAGCAGCATCTACAGAGACCTCAGGTCTGTAACTGGTGCACTGGTGTAGTCATCAGTAGACTGGTTTTATAGTTAACTGGTTCTTTTAGACTGTAGTACACTGGTTAGTGTAACTGGTTTCTACAGCCAATGATACCAGATCTTTTTCTTCTTCTGTCAGTTTGATTTGATTGATTGCTGTTAAGATGTAAAGAGACGTTCAACAAAAATATCATGAATGTTTACTATCTTTAATCTGGCAACTTAAACTGAGTACTTGTACTTGTTTTAACAGTGTGCTTCAGTACTTTTACAGTAACAGCTGGTCTCCTTGGTCTCCTCCCAACAGGACCAACCTTCCTAAGGAGGTGATGATGTTCCCTGACTTCCCCTTTGACCCCCAGCTGGACAGCTTCCTGCCCCATCAGGAGGTCCAGAGGTACCTGGAGAGGTACTGTAGGAGCCCCGACCTCCGACCTCACATCAGGGTGAGTCGCTCCACCTCTCTCTACTGTACTACAGTATAAAGTACATGTTGTACTTTATACTGTACTACATCTCAGAGGTACATGTAGTACTTTATACTGTACTACATCTCAGAGGTACATGTAGTACTTTATACTGTACTACATCTCAGAGGTACATGTAGTACTTTATACTGTACTACAGCTCAGAGGTACATGTTGTACTTTATACTGTACTACAGCTCAGGTATATATTGTACTTTATGCTGTACTACATCTCAGAGGTACATGTAGTACTTTATACTTTACTACATCTCAGAGGTACATATTGTACTTTATACTGTACTACATCTCAGAGGTACATGTACTTTATATGTACTACAGCTCAGATGTACATATAGTACTTTATACTGTACTACATCTCAGAGGTACATATAGTACTTTATACTGTACTACAGCTCAGAGGTACATGTTGTACTTTATACTGTACTACAGCTCAGAGGTACATGTTGTACTTTTGTCTCTTTGTTTGTCAGTTCAACACATTGGTGGAAAAAGTGAGGCCTGTTGTCATGACGACAGAGGAAGAGGAGGAGAGGATGACATCATGGGAAGTGACATCATCTGATCCTTCAGGTTGTCAGACAACAGAAACCTTTGACTCGGTCTTCATCTGTTCAGGGTAAGACATGTGACATTCAGTTCATTGTTAAGTTATTTACTTCCTGCTTCCATCAAAACGCTGCGGTGTCCAGATTAAATGTGTTGATGAGGATGTTGTGATGTTTGTCTTTAGGCACTACTCTGACCCTCACATCCCTCACATCCCAGGAATAGACCGCTTTAAAGGTACAGTCATTCATATTCACAGTACATCTACTGATACTGTGAGCTCTAACACTGAATGTTAGTGGTGTAACGGACCGTTGTGGATCTGTACTGACCCCCCCCCTCACAGTTTACTGTTAACCATCAGAGTGTAAATAAAGTTTTAACGTTAACCATCAGAGTGTAAATAAAGTTTTATCGTTAACCATCCATCCATCCATTTTCCTCCGCTTATCCGGGGTCGGGTCGCGGTGGCAACAGGCCAAGCAGGCTGACCCAGACTTCCCTCTCACCGGCAACATGTTCCAGCTCATTCTGGGGGATCCCGAGGCGTTCCCAGGCCAGCTGGGAGATGTAATCCCTCCAGCATGTTCTGGGTCTTCCCCGGGGTCTCTTCCCAGTTGGACGTGCCTGGAAAACCTCCATTGGGAGGCGTCCAGGAGGCATCCTAATTAGATGCCCGAACCACCTCAGCTGACTCCTTTCGACACGAAGGAGTAGCGGCTCGACTCCAAGCTCCCTCCTGATGACCGAGCTCCTTACCCTATCTCTAAGGCTGAGCCCGGCCACCCTACGGAGGAAGCTCATTTCGGCAGAGCACCATGGCCTCAGATTTGGAGGTGCTAACTCTCATCCCCGCCACTTCACACTCGGCTGCAAACCGCCCCAGTGAATCCTGGAGGTCACGATCTGAGGAGGCTAACAGGACCACATCATCTGCAAACAGCAGAGAGGCGATCCCGAGACCCCCGAACCTGACGTTCTCCACCCCCAGGCTGCGCCTAGATATCCTGTCCATGAAAGTCACTAACAGGACCGGAGACAAAGGGCAGCCCTGGCGGAGGCCAACACCCACCGGGAACGTGTCTGACTTATTGCCGAGAATGCGGACACAGCTCCTACTGCAGTCGTACAGAGACCAGATCGCCCGTTATAATGGGTCCGGCACCCCATACTCCCGCAGCACCCCCCACTTCTCCAAGTCCACAAAGCACATGTAGACTGGTTGGGCAAACTCCCAGAACCCCTCCAGTAGTCTTGCGAGGGTAAAGAGCTGGTCCACTGTTCCACGGCGGGACGGAATCCGCATTGCTCCTCTTGAATCTGAGGTTCGACAAACGGTCAGAGCCTCCTTTCCAGCACCCTGGCATAAGCCTTCCCCGGGAGGCTGAGTAGTGTGATACCCCGGTAATTCGAGCACACTCTCCGGTCCCCCTTTTTGAAAATGGGAACCACCACCCCAGTCTGCCAGTCCATGGGCACTGATCCCGACCCCCATGCGACATTGAAGAGGCGTGTCAGCCAGGACAGCCCAACTATGTCCAGCGCTTTCAGCATCTCAGGGCGGATCTCATCCACCCCCCGGCGCCTTGCCACCAAGGAGCTTTTTGACTACCTCAGCGGCCTCTGCCAGGGATATGGGTGAGCCTCCCCCTAGATCTTCAGGCGCTGCCTCCTCTGCAGAGGACATGTTGGTCGGGTTTAGGAGTTCCTCAAAGTGCTCTTTCCACCGCCCGACTATGTCCCCTGTCCGGGTCAGCAGTTCCGCCCCCCCCTGCTGAGAACAGCCTGGGGTAAGCCCTGCTTTCCCTTCCTGAGCCAGAAGCCATGGTTTGCCAGAACCTCCTTGAGGCCAACCGAAAGTCCTTCTCCATGGCCTCCCCGAACTCCTCCCATGCCCGAGTTTTAGCATTCGCGACCACCGCAGCTACAGCCCTTCTGGCCTGCCGGTACCCGTCAGCTGCTTCGGGAGACTCCTGGGCCAACCAGGCCTTGAAGGTCTCCTTCTTCAGCTTGACGGCTTCCCTCACCTCCGGTGTCCACCACCGGGTTCTCGGGTTGCCGCCACGACAGGCACCGATGACCTTCCGGCCACAGCTCCTAGCGGCCGCGTCCACAATAGAGGCTTTGAACATGGTCCATTCGGATTCCATGTCCCCAACCTCCCTCGGGATGTGAGAGAAGTTCTTCCGGAGGTGGGAGTTAAAGACCTCCCGGACAGGGTCCTCCGCCAGACGTTCCCAGTTCACCCTCACTACACGTTTGGGCTTGCCGGGTCTTTCCAACCGGTTCTGCTCCTCTCTTCATCTGAGTGTCCAAGACATACGGCCGCAAATCAAATGATACGATTACAAAGTCGATCATTGATCTCCGGCCTAAGGTGTTCTGGTACCAGGTACACTTATGAGCCACCTTATGTTCGAACATGGTGTTCGTTATGGCCAAACCGTGGCAAGCACAGAAGTCCAATAACGAGACACCATTCGGGTTCAGATCGGGCAAGCCGTTCCTCCCAATCACCCCCCGCCAGGTTTCTCCGTCATTGCCCACGTGAGCATTGAAGTCCCCCAGGAGAACTATGGAGTCGGTAGGTGGCGCCCTTTCCAGGACCCCTCCCACCGACTCCAAGACGGCCGGATACTCTGAACTGCTGTTTGGTGCGTAAGCACAAACCACAGTCAGAGCCTTGCTCCCCGCAACCCGTAGGCACATGGAGGCGACCCTCTCATTCCCCGGGGAGAACTCCAACACAGCGGCGCTCAGCCGGGGGCTCGTGAGTATCCCCACTCCCACCCGGCGCCTCTCACCCTGGGCAACTCCGGAAAAGGACAAAGTCCAACCTCTCTCCAGGAGCTTGGTTCCAGAGCCAGCGCTGTGTGTGGAGGTGAGTCCAACTATATCTAGCTGGTATCGCTCCACCTCCTGCACCAGCTCTGGCTCTTTCCCCGCAAGCGAGGTGACGTTCCACGTCCCTAGAGCTAGTCTATGCTGCTGGCGATCGGCTCGCCCAGGCCTCCCGCCTGACCCGCCGCCCGGTCTGCATTGCACCCGACCCCGATGCTTGCCCCTGCGGGTGGTGGGTCCACAGGGTGGCTGCTCCATGCTGTTTATTCGGGCTGAGCCCGACCGGGCCCCATGGGCGAAGGCCCGGCCACCAGACGCTCGCCGACGAGCTCCCCTCCTGGGTCTGGCTCCGGGAGGGTGCCCCGGTTTCCCTGGTCCGGGCGAGGTGGCTAAAGTCCGTGGGCCGCTTATCATTAGGGTCGTTTGAATCGCTCTTAGTCTGGGCTCTCCCCCGAGACCTGTTTGCCTTGGGAGACCCTACCAGGGGCTAATGCCCCGGACAACATAGCTCCCAGGATCACTGAGCCACTCAAACTCCTCCACCACGTTATGGTGGCGATTCGCGGAGGAGTCGTTAACCATCAGAGTGTAAATAAAGTGTTAACGTTAACCATCAGAGTGTAAATAAAGTGTTAACGTTAACCATCAGAGTGTAAATAAAGTTTTACTGACTCAGTAGAACGTGTTTCTAGTCTCTGATCTCTTATCATGTTTCATTGTAAACAACCAATCAGAGGAGAGCTAGTAACGTTAGCAGCACCGCTAACGGCTAACCAACGGGAGGAGAGCTAGTAATGTTAGCAGCACCGCTAATGGCTAACCAACGGAGGTTCACCTCAGTTACATTATGATGCCTTCAGGCTCTGCTCAGTGAACATGAGTACTGGCTGAAGGTACATTATAACGTTATCATGATGTGTTCACATGTCATCTGTAAAATGTAGTTTTGATGATAAACTTGAATAAATCCAGTAGTTTGAAGGAGATGTTTTCACATGAATATAAAACAGATATTAGAGATGAATTATGAGCTGTTTACCTTCCCTCTGTAGGACAGGTGCTCCACAGTCACTCGTACAGGTGTGCAGAGCCGTTCTCAGGTCAGTCGGTGGTGGTTCTGGGAGCCAAAGCTTCAGGACTGGACATCTCCATAGAACTGGCCGGGGTCGGTGCTCAGGTAACAAAAGATAATAATGTTTAATGACATTATTAATGGATACTAATAAGGGTCCACAGGAATAAGGGCTGTACTAGCTGACGCGAACTAGCTGACGCGAACTAGCTGACGCGTACTAGCTAACATCAGCTCTCATCCTGCCAATTTCAACGGATTTGTTGTTCACAGTGTGGTATTATGAGGGATCTGTGACTACAAAGCATTAATGATCTCCCAATCACACATTTTTACTGAATGTCGTCTCCTAATAAAGATGACATTTTTTACTTGCTCGACCACAGAGTTTACTTTTAAGCATTAATGGAGTCGTCTCTCTCTCGCTCTCTTTACTCTCTCTCGCTCTCTTTACCTCTCTCTCTCTCTCTCTCTCTCTCCAGGTGACTCTGAGTCACGGCCAACCTCGTCTCACCTTTCCTCTACCTGCCGGGGTTCAACAGTCCAGTCCGGTGGTGGCGGTCGAGGAGGACGGCAGACTTCGCTTCCAGGTCACTAAAGTCCACCGGCACTAATATAAAAGAAACCCAGAAGCTCGTACACACTTTGTACCCAGCTCAGTAACGACTCTTCTAACAGATTAAAAGATGTTTTATTTACATGTGAAATAATTCAAACTGCCACATGAAGTTAAATCAGTTTTATTATTGGTCTGTAAATATTGATTGAAGAGGTTTAAACTGTGATGAGTTCAGCTGATATTCCATCAATGCTAACTCTAGACTAACCTTCTGATTCAGTCTGAAGAAGAGCTTTAAATTGATTCCAGCTTGTGCTAGGCTGCTTTTATTGTGAAACTCTTGACACTGAAACAGGAAGCTGTTCCTGTTTAAATCTAAGCTTCCAGCTCATTTCTTCTCTTCTTGTTCATCTGTTGCTCAGAGGATCTTTGTCTCTTTGAACAGAGTTTTGTTCTCCGTCTACTAAACTAAACCTCTGTTAGTAAAGAGACTTTCTAGAGTTCAGGTCTGATCAGCTCCTCTTGATGGTTTCAGAGACTGGAACAACAGACGGTGAGTTCCTGAGACATTTCAGTGAGTTTATAGTATTCAGACTTCAGAACTCTCTGTAATGTCTGCATCACGTAGGTCCAGTGAGGCCCACCTGGTCTCTGTTGAACAGGTATCCAGTCTTTCTTCTCCACAAGCTGAACTTTCCTCTCAGTTCACACTAAATAAAATGTTGCAGGACGGCTCTGAAGCTGCCGCTGATGTCCTGATGTTCTGCACCGGCTACAACTTCAGGTTTCCGTACCTGGACGGTCCTGAGCTGGGTCTGCAGATCCAGGACCACCTGATTTCCCCCCTGTACCGCCTCCTGATGCCCCCGGCCTTCCCCTCGCTCTTCTTCATCGGCTTGTGCAAGCAAATCTGCCCCTTCCCCAACTTCCACTGCCAGGTGAGCCCGAGAGCCAGCAGGTGGATCTGAACGTCCTGTCTGCGCTCATAACATAGTTACACCCAAAATAAACTGATTCAGCTTTAATTACAATAATCGGATGAAGAGGAAGCCCAAATACTCTGTTACAGTACAATGCAGTTCAAGTATTAGAAGTGTGAGTGTTCTACTCTTTACTGTCAGACAGCGGGTCTCTTCACCGCCTCAGTAAACCTCTCACAAGAGTGATTCATAACGACATAACCCGAGGAGGAGGTTTGGTTGTTGTTCAGGTCCTGTTCTCTCTGGCCGTGTTGGACGGCTCCGTGTCTCTACCGTCTCGGGTCCGGAGGGAGGACGAGGCCCGGCGAGCTCTGCTGGAGAAGGCGGAGCGCGGAGTCCAGCAGCGCCACCTGCTGGTGATGCAGCAGGAGGAGCAGTGGGAGTACTGCCAGACGCTGGCTCGGGTCGCCGGCTTCCCGCCGCTGCCGCCCGTCATACGCAGCCTGTACGAGGAGGTGTGGCGACAGCGGAGAGTTCACCCACAAAACTACCGGAGACGCAACTACCGGCTGATCGGGGACGACCGATGGGAGCAGATCAATTGATCGATGAAAAGGTTCAACAGCAGGTGTAGAGATCATGGACACAACAGTGTTATAGACTTTATAAATATCAGTTTCATACAAATAAATGAACACGTTTAAAAATAAGTCTTATGAGTTTTATGACATGTTGATTCACTTCCATCCTCGAGGCTAAGCCCCGCCCCTTCTGTTTGACTGCCATGGGACTTTATTTCATACAGAATATGAACAGTAGTCAAAGACAGATAGTTATTTAATCCAGTTTGAATATTCACATGAATTACTCGTACGATGTTTATCAATTTAACAGATATTTTGCCCGTTAAGAAACACCAACATGGCTGTTAGCTTGACTTGCTAGCTAGCTAACTTAGCTTAGATGTTAAACATACCTGCTAAGCATTAGCATGTTAGCATTGTCATTCTGAGCTCATTAGCATGCTGATGTTAGCATTTAGCTACAGCCTCACAGACAGAGATGGGCAGTATTTCTATTACTTGTATTTGAAATACGTATTTCAATTACTTTTGAGTATTTTGTATTTTGTATTTGATAGGGCCAATAAAAATCGAACGTAATTTGTAACAAAATACTTTAGAGTGGAGTAATTTTGTATTTAAAATACTCAAAATACTTTCTCCACAAATGAAAAAACAGTTCACGAGTTCAGTCTTCAGATCTTCAAGTTCAATGATTGTCTGTCAACGTAAATATTTTACTTGAGTGTGACAGATGTCAACTAGCTTGATGTATAATTCATGTCTGGGTTTGGCTACATAGCCTATTGTATATACATGGTGATGGTTATAATATCAAGCTAGCGATCGATGCTAACATGCTAATGACGCTAGCATGCTGTCTAGGCTAGTGCATAGCCAGTGTTTAGCAAGTTAACTTATCAGTGGAGTAGCTAGCTATAGGAAGAGGGAGATTGGGAGCTTGTATGTTCATGATAACCTTATCAAGAGACGTCTGACCATCTAATCTTGCACTGTGTTACAAGTTATGCTGCATCTTCTCAATGTGAATGTCATAATGTCATATCAATTACTGGCAGATAATATAGTTCACAGTTGGACATCTACTGTCATAGCCTGGCTATTTGTTCAAAAAAACAAAAAAACTTTAAATATCCAATTTATTTTATTTAAAAGGCATATTATGAAAGTATTCTTAGTTTTATTATTTCATACATTCTACAGTTGGCCAGGTGGACAACATGTCTGTGACTGTTCTTCCTTTTTGTGGGCTTCACCAGAGCTTTGTGTACATTATATATAATTATATTATATTATTATTATATTATATAGCCCAAACCTGAATGCTCTGCTATACCAAATTGTGAGAAAATGGAAAATCCAGAAAAAAGTATTTCCTATATTTTAAATACAAAATACATGTATTGTATTTTGTTACATTTTCTGGCAGCAGTATTTTGTATTTTATTTTAATACATTTATTTGAGGGGTATTTTGTATTTTGCATCAAAATACATTTTGATGTATCTTTGCCCATCTCTGCTCACAGAGCTGTTATCATGACTGCAGACGGTCAGCGATGTTTAGTTTCTACACAGGGTGTGCGTGCGTGCGGGCGGTATACATATTTGTGATTAATCAGTGAGAGAGCAGATCTGTTGCGTTAAACATGAACGAGGCCAAAGACAGCTGACGTCATCGGACGTCACCAGATATTTCACCACAAAACGTCAAAATACACAAAAAAAAAAAGAGGTCTGACATCACAGGCTGACCTGAGCTCAACAACAACGACATCATCACATGAGGGAATACATTTAGACAGTAACATGGCTGCCGTTCAGTGCTCAACATTTAAAGGGGAGCGACACCAACATTCATCACAATGTTCCCCTTTAAGCCTCTCAGGTGGACAGAATGAATCAATGAACAGATGAACTTTAATGAGCTGAGAATACAAACATTGTGAGATGTGATGTTTTGCATCAGTAAACTGAACGTCTTCGGGGGTTCTGTCGTGCTGGTCGGACAAAAACATGTGAAGATGTCGCCCATCAGCTCTTGTTTATTTGATATTTTTTTAATATATTAAAGATTATGAATATGATTTAAAAGGGCCTCGGTAAGAAGCCACATAACAGAGTTCATGTCACACCTTTCTCCCATTTCTACACAGTTCTTCTGTCAAATGAAGGTGGAAAAAAAAAAGAAAATATAAAAAATGATTGGAAAAATAATTACTACATGAGGTCTGAGTTCAAAGGTACAAATAACTAAATCAGGAGAACAACAAAGAACCAACGAATTAAATGTGATATCAAAAGTCCGCTCACATTTAAAATGTTGAAACAATGAAAATGAATTTAATTCTTTTGTGGAATTTTAAAATGATTTTACTGAGAAGTTTCTCTGCTTGTTGGTATTGTTGATGTTTCATTAAGTATGTTTACGTCAAGAAAAATGCAAAAAAAAATAAATATCACAAAAAAAGTGCGATGCGATTGATGAGCCTTCCTCACATAAATACATGAAAGACTCCTTTAATCCCTTCTTCTTCTGTGGCGGTTGAATGGCACCGACCAGCTGTTTATATGTATGATACTAATACAACAGCAGTGGACTGAAACAAGACTTCAGTCAGGTTTTATTTTTGCAGATTGTCTGGAAACTTGTTTAAAATTTGCTCTGAATTGGACGGATCGACGTCCCGGTGTCACGTTCCCCGTCACTGAAATCAAGCAACTTCCTGTTCAACTGCAGGATTCTTTCACTTTATGAAGGAACCTTCTAGACGATGACCCTCGAGGACTTGGACTCGTTCTCCACGTGCACCACCCTTTCCATCTTCTCCGCTGCCTCCTGGTCGTCCTCTCCCGCTCCGTCTTTCTTCAGGATCTTCAGCGGCCACCAGAGGGAGCCGCCCCGGTGGTCCCGGCGGACGCTGTGTTCTGCCGGCCAGCAGCAGCAGCAGGGGGCGCCCTTGTCCCCCGTCAGGAAGTACAGGAGGGCGTTGAGCCAGGCATTGCAGGACGCCAGCGGCCGCGTGACCTTGTAGCAGATGGAGATGGTCTTCATGATGTTGCAGCTGCCCAGCTGCCCCCGCCGCAGGAGCAGGAACAGCGTCCGGGTCACGTGGAAGGGCAGGAAGCAGAGCGCGAACAGCAGCGTGATGGTCACGATGGTCTTGATGGATTTCCGTCGCCGCCGGATGTAGTGCGAGTACTGCGACCCGGAGATGGAGACCGAGGTTCTCTCTCGGTCTCTGGCTCCCTCCGTCGGCCCGTCTCTCACCGGGCCGTCCTCCCCGCCCTCGAGCGAACTGGGAGGCGAGCGCAGCGTCTGAAATATCGTCCGGACCACCTGAGAGTAGCACCAGGCGATGATGACGAAGGGCACGAAGAAGCCCAGCAGGTGGAGAACGATGCCGTACGGGACGTAGTCGGCGAACTCCTCGTCGATGGCGTCGTCCCAGCAGTTCGTGTACCCGCCGTCGTCCTCCGACTGAGACACCGTAGTGTTCCCGCCTTCTCTCGCTCCTCCGGGACCGACGACCCCGCCGCCTCCTCGCTGGACGTATCCCGTCTGGGCGAACCGGAAGATGGGGCAGGTGAGGACGAAGACCACCACCCACACCAGCGCACAGGTCCACTTCACCACCCGCTTGCTCTCCAGAGTGATGGTCCTCATCGGGTGGCAGATCCCCAGGTACCTGTGGACGCACAGCCAAAGGTGATTTCGAATCAACCGCATTAATCTCTTTCTTGTTCTAGTTTTAAAAAGTCTAAACCCTCGAGGACATGAACAGACTCTATTCTAGACTATTTCTAGCTCCACACTACAAAAATCGGTGAATCTGTGAGCAACAAACCGAACTCTAAATGACCGAAGAGCCCCCGAAAAAATTCTGTTAAAAGGTCTGCAACCTGAACCCGGCTCACTCGTCTCTGAAGTCAAACATTTCAACCAGTTTCTGATTAGCTCAGAGGTCAGGAGCATCAGCTAGCTTGCTCCATTAGCCTCATTAGCATGTGTCGTAGTGTAAGCAAGTGAAAGTTCAAACGGAGACATTGACGTGACCCCAAATCTCTTCCCGGCTGATAAAGAGTCGCAGGATAAAACACATCCGTTAAGATAACGTTACATTTTGAACATGGCTTGCTAGCTCGCTAGCTTAGCTAAGCTAACGGTAATGTTGGATTTGGTGATGTCCTTTGTACCAGACGAGAGACGAAGTCCACCGATTCAAATTAAAATGATCTATTAAATAGACAAATACAAAAACGTTTGTCTCTAGCCATTGACGACTACAAAGTCTTTGCCTCTCTTGACGGACACGCCGTCAGTGAGACGTGCAAAAGTCACGCTTGACGGATAGGTAGAGCTTCAAAGATTGAAGGTTAATGTCAAGCTGCATTGTTTGACGCATCGGTGTGAGAATGTGGTATCGGCTAAGAGCACCTGTGGAAACGTGTTGGCGTGTTTCCGTGGCGTCCTACCTGTGCACGGAGATGCAGGTGAGGAAGAAGATGGAGCAGTAGAGGTTGAAGTAGAAGAGGAAGCGGACGAGGCGGCACATGAAGTCCCCGAACACCCATCGGTCCCTCAGCATGTAACTCGCCACCAGGAAGGGCAGCGACAGACCGTACATCAGGTCGGTGGTGGCCAGGTTCACCATGTAGATCAGTGAGGTGTTCCAGCGCCGCCCAGCACCGCTGCCGCAGCAGCCGCTGTGGTGGCGGCAGGAGCGCAGCAGCACCACCGAGTTGAGGGTGAGGCTGAAGAGGAAGGTCAGCGAGTAGCAGACAGGCAGGAAGACGTACTTGTAGGATTCGTCGATGCTGCAGGACGACGGCGGGACGGACGAGGTGGGCAAGGTGCCGGAGGTGTTGGGATGGTTGCTCGCCGACGCCACCAAACCGATGTCTGGAGTGGAGATTTGGCTCAATCCCATGATGAACCTCTGAAGGCTATTTCTGTCGGGGCTGGATGGGTTCAGGTTCCTCACCGGCTCACCGACGTTTCCTTCATTTGTCCTTCCTCCGATCGATCCGTCTGATCTCAGTCTGTCCTCGCCGTGGACTGAACCATGTCTCTGGTGTGCAGAAGGAGTTTCTGTGACCAAGAGGGGGGGGGGGAGACACGCCGTCATTAGTTTGGAAAACCTTGTTCACAATGTACCGCCGGCGTTTTTGCTGATGAAGACTATGTCTCGCTCAATTAGCCGCTCAATCATTAACGAAGCCTTCCGGAAACCTCCCTCCATTCATGTAGCCTCCGAGTACGGCGGGTCGGCGGACTCCTCCAGCTGCTCAGGGGTTAAAGTCCCAGTGAGATGAAAAATACACTTTTAATCTTGTGTTCATTCAAATATACGTTCATATACTGTACAAATATTAGAAAGTCAGTATCGGAGCATTTTTACATCAAATCTCTTCTGTAAAGCAAATGTTTGATGTTCCGTTCTGCATTTGGGCGTTAAAAACAATAACTTCTCCTCCGTGGTTACTTTTTTTGTTTTGTTTCAAGTTGTAACGTCGCGAGAGTAGAAAAACCAAACTGTTGTTCAGAATCAGCTTCATAAGTAAGTGTTACCGGACGAAGTGAGATGTGGACTCGTATCAAGACATAAAGAACACGTGATTTGATTTAGGACGAAGGATGTGCACATTGAATGACATCATCATTCATGGTCCCCTCAGGATGAACTGGTGAACGAGTCCTTTAACCATCTGAAATGATTTCTGTCCATTAAGTGAAGTGAAAGACAAAAGGATGAAAGGAGCACTACATTTATTTTATGGAGGTTTTTACTATTATAACAGTTTGAATGAGCAACGAGAGTCTTCTCTGTGCTGCCTGAAGGTATTTGAGAGTTTCCTGTTATAAGCAAACATTAACAATCTGACGTTTGCATTTTCTCCCTCTCAACATTTAATATAATATAAAAACATATCATCTTTTGGGACTTTTGCTCTGTAGCTCTTCTAAATCAGTTGGTTACATTCCTTTGAACATAAAGACAGAGACAGAGAAAGCAGCGACTCCTCACGTTAGAAACCAGTCAAATAATCTAGATTTTTGCTTTAAAAATCACTCAAACTACATTTTTATAACTGCTGTCAGTTTTTTAAGAGAACGCAAACATTGTAATCTGTCCAGTTAAACCAGTTTGAAGCTCTAGAGCTGTTGAGATCTGGATTGCAGCCGACCCCCATCGGGGTCTGATCAGACCTACCTTCAGTCCTCCGTGTTGCCCGTCCCGTCTCTCTGGTTCTCGGGGCTGAAGGGTCTCTGACCTTCAGCTGCTCTGTCAATAATTGATCAGCGTTCAGTCAGTCAGAACTGCAGGAATGAAACTCAATACAGGAGGAGGAGGAGGAGGCAGCTTTGCTCTGCTCTGAGATCTAGGTTTCACGTCTGCTAAATATTCATCAGATCAACCTCTCCATGAATAGATGCAGCTTAGCTTGATGCTAACGCTGCTGTGACTGATAGAATGTCAATGAACGTGCACACATCTAAAACACGACGGACATTGGGATTAACTAAATAGTTTAATTTAAATCTATATTCTGACACGTAGACCTTTAATCAGTAACTTCTGTCATTTTAAATCATTGAGATGAAATGTAATAAATCTCTCACCGCTTCCCTCCAGAGGAGCTGCTGCTGTCTCTCGTCTCCTGATGAGTCTTTAAGTAGACAGCAAAGTGAATCCAGTGACACATCAGCCCTTCCTCCTCCTCCTCCTCCTCCTACTGCTCCTCCTCCATCATGCTGAGTTAGTCCAGTGAACACACATTAGTGTGTTTGAACAATGTGAAGGTGTGTGAGTGGTCAGGCAGCAGAGGAATGAATAAACTCTATTTATTAAAACCTCATTAAATACCTGCTGCAAAAAAACTCTTTATGTGATTTATGAATTATAAATCAAACGACGAAAGCAAACTTTCACTTCTTCGTGGTGCGTTTTTTGTTTTATGTAAACAAGTAGAGAAATCATATGTACACGTGTATATATGCAACTCGTGTGTGTGTGTATATATGTATATGTATATATATGTGTGT